TTTACTGATTAGAAAATCGTAACTTCACAGGGTTCTTCAAGGTCTAGTTCAAATGCTCCCTTCAAAGCTATCTTGATCTGCCTCAGCAGACAAAGGGCTCCTTTTAAAGTTTTAGTTACAGCACTTATCCAATGATAATGGTGCTCATTTGTCTTGCATGTTTTGTTTCACTCGTATTTGACATTTAGTGGTTAGCTTTTAGTAAATGCTCAGTTAACTTTTTGAAGGAATGAATGAAGTTGAAGAAATTAAGAATTATCTAGTCGTTCCACATAAGTATTGCTATATTTGAAACAACTCTTTTCCTTTTGGGTTTCATTCTACTACCTATTTTTATAGGGTACATTGTACCTGGAACATTATAAATATGGGACTCAAAAGAACAAAAAAATATGGAACTCAGTAAATATATGATGATTGAAAATTGAATTAAATCTACCTCCTTATATTTTAGTGGTTCTAGTTTTATTTCTTTTTCTTTTCTTTTATTTTTTTTAAAGATGACCGGTAAGGGGATCTTAACCCTTGACTTAGCGTTGTCAGCACCACGCTCAGCCAAGTGAGCCACAGGCCAGCCTGTCTACTTTTATTTCTTGAATTTAAAAGAGTATACTGTGTCCTTTTTCATGTGATATTCTCTACGTGTCATCCTTCTCTTTCCTGTTATTATTCAAAAATGTGTCCCATTTCACACTGTGTTCTGTAATGCATTCTGCAAATTTTGTAAAAGCATATTTTAAAAAATTGACTGCATGTGATTGAAATATTATATACTTCTGTTTGTGTAATTAAGAGTTTTCTCAGTGGCTAAAAATTTTTAAATTGTTTTTTAAATTATTGGTTGAAAACTCAAGATGATCATTTCAAATTCAAATGCTATTCTTTGTTATCAGTTATTTTCGTATTCATATTCATAGTAGCTAAAGCAATGAAAGTATTTTGTCATACTCAATGGCATTGTAAGTGGAAAAAATGGTGGCATTTATACTGAGTATGTTTTGGTTGTCTGTAATAATTAATAGTACTTTGTTTTCGTCACCCATGATCTGTTAAAATCATTCATCTAGTAGTCCTCAGTCTTTTTTTTTTTTTTTTTTTTTTTTTCTTGCTCAACATAGCTTTGGGATGTAAAACAGTGATTTTTCAAAAGTAGAGTGGGGGAAGGGGGATACTTCAGTCAACTCCCTAAGAATTTTAATGTTCATCCTTTTTCCTTCCCACTCCTAGTCATTCTTGTCCATTGCTAGAATATATGAGAATTTTGAGTTTTAAAATTGAGCATAAATAATATCTTAAAGGCAGATTGTAATCACAGAAGCAGATGATAATCTTGGGCATGTGGCATGTATTTTCTTGTACTTTGAAATTGATTCTTCTGCCTAAATGGATTGGAACAGCAGATGCTTGGCTGCATTTGAGTTAAGGCCTTCCTGCAGCATGTTGATAGGTAGAGATTCTTTCATATTTTGGAGGACCAAGTATTTCCATTTAGATTGGTTGATATTATCATTAAAGTTGCTGAGGGATCCACATTATCCCTTTCTAACGATCTGGTGAATAAGTTTTCAGTTCTCTACTTCGACTGACCTGTAACTTTAAGACATTTTTATAAATTACAAGTGAAAGGTCATTAACAGATAATAGAAGTTTAAAATAGAACAGTCTTCACCAATTTTCTGACACAAAACTCTTAAGATACAAATAAAATGTAGATAAGCAGGCAATAATCAGTTTTGACTGAAGTATGGACTATAACAATGCTGTATGATGACAGTACAGAAAACCTGGAAAGTTTGTAGTAGTAATAGTCCGCCAGTGGTTAAAAAGAATGTTTTCCTCAAGTTGCAAAACTTGAAATTTAGGAAGTAAATTAGTGTATTTTTAAGGATTAGTTGAGGTTTAGCATATGTTGTGACTCTGAAGACAGCAAGGAATTTTTACACATTAATATCGTGGTCACCGTAGGTACATCAGAGAGCTGTGGCACGTGGTTAAGCCCTCCTTATTGGTTAAGCCAACCACTATTTTTGCAACTTAATGGTAAGCCTCTGAGGAAAGCTCTAATGTAGATAAAACCTGCAGTTAGTACCAGTGTAAGTCAGTAATTTCAACTTTGTTATGATGGTTCTGATTTTTTTTCTCTAAAGAGGAACTGGAGAAACGTGATTAATAAAATCAACCACTATATTTAGTTTTGTTTTTTATGGAAATATTTCCACCTATAAAATTTAATGGCCATGAATCTGATTGCAGAGATTATTTACCATAACTGCACCTGTCCCCTGAGAGGCAGTTTAAAACAATTCCATTAGAATCCAGAGCTAATCAAAAAGAATGTTGTGGAACATACAAAAGAGGGCTATGTGAAAGTAAATTCAGATCTGGTCTGATATTTTAGTGTTCTTACCCCTCACCCCCAAGAAAAATCAGTGCACACGGTATGATCTTTTTGTGATCTTTTTGTCATCTTTGAAGCCAAGCCCATGTTTAGCACTGATTTAAAGGTAGAACTACTTTATCTTGAGGTCCTTTGGGTAACCAGTACCCCCTTTCATAGGAGTCAGAATAGATCTGACCTTTACCAAAAAGTGTTATTGTGTCCAATAGTTTTATGGTGAGGTATTTGAGTATTTTTATCTGAATAAGGAAGATCAAGCCACTTAAAAAATACTTTTGTGAAGAGGACCGTTTAAGTTTTAGTACTTTGTGCACATGAAATTCATATGTGCTTTATGTATGAATAGATTTATTTATCAAATAATTATTGAGCACCTACCACTTGGTGGGCATTGTTCTAAGTACTGGAAACTCAGCAGTTAACAAAACAGATGGAGTCCTTCACCTCCCAAGGAGACAATATCTTGGATCTTATATTCTAGAAAAGTGAATAGTGTACTTTTATCCTGCCTAAATGAAGAAAAGATTTTCTTAGGAAATATGCTATTATATAGTAGAGCTTCACATTTTCAGATTTATGACTGATTGGAAGCAGATACCTCTGAAGCTGCAAGTACCTGAACTCTTTCACTCTCAGAAAATACCCCATGATTTTCCTAGCTTGCTCATGTATTCATTCCAACCTCAGGTCCTTTTAGATAATACTTATTCAATGTCCCATCCTCCCCAGTTTTTTCCAGCCATCATCTGTCAGTCTCAGTCCATTGCTTTAGATGAGTGTGTGAGTGCGTGTGCACATGTGATTGCACGTACATGCACATGGCTTTCTACCCTAGCTAGCTTTTAAACTTCTTCAGGGAAATCATGCTCAGTTTCTCTGGTTTAGCACAGTGCTTTATATGTAGTAGCATTTAATATAAATATTTGTAGTCTTCAAGCTACTGTCCTAAAATTGCTTAAAATCATAACAGTTTCTTTAAAAAGTGTTCTACATTGAATTTTTTAAATGCCTTGCATTTCTTTAGTTTGTCCTTTATGGTTAGTCAAACTACTTAGTGTATGAAAGCCTTTACTTAATGCTTTTAAAAATTATGTTGATTATGCTAGTATGAATCTTATCTATAAGACTCCGTTTATGCTCATTAAGAGTTGATTTTCATGTTCATGAGCCCCATAGACTTATGTGTGTTGTGGGAGGCATGGGGAATCACCCTTTCTAATCAGGCAAAATAATATAACTTAATAATGCTAGTATGAATCTTATCTATAAGACTCCGTTTATGCTCATTAAGAGTTGATTTTCATGTTCATGAGCCCCATAGACTTAAGTGTGTTGTGGGAGGCATGGGGAATCACCCTTTCTAATCAGGCAAAATAATATAACTTAATAAGTATGGCCATATGTAACATCTACTTTTTTTTTTTAATTAAAGAGGGTGTTAATGGGCTGTTTTTCTTTATTATAACTCTCTTCCTCCTGCCATTCCTTCTCCAAAAAGTTTAAGCTAGATTTAATCATTTCCATTATGATTCGGGTTTTTTGTTTTTTTTTTTTACCTGTCGGAAAGCCTCCAACTTAAGGGAGGGTTTCAGTAGCATATCTCCTCCACTGAATGAGCAGGTTTCCTTTGGAATATGCATTGACCTCAGAGGATGCAGCATTGTTTTGGGAAAGATTTGTATCAGCAGCAAAAAAAGTACAAAGCAATCACAGTATTTTATGGAATTAGCTGAATTACATACTTAGCTTTTCATATTTTATTAGTTAGTTATAAACTCTGTTCAGTCTTTTGTTCCTCAACCTTTCGTTGGGATAACTTGTGGGTCCTGGCCACCCAGTTAGGTTAGGTCTGAAGAATTCTATATGCATAAATGGTTTTAAATTAATTATTTTAAGCTGACAATAATTGCGTATATTTATCATGTACAGCGTGATGTTTTGAACATTCATACATTGTGGAATGGCTAACATTTGCATTACCTCACATACTTAAAACCTACTCCCAGTGATTTTCAAGAACACAATACATTGTTATTAACTATAGTATAGAATTTTAATTTTTTTGGTTTTTTATTTATGAATTTTAATTTTTAATGAAATAAATGAATTAAATGAAGCAGGCTATACAGAGTGGAATGTAATTATCAAGTAATTAGTTAAAAACCTTGGAAGAAGGTAATTCTCATTTTAGACTTTTGTTTGTTGCAGGTGGCAAACTTAAAAATTTTGTGTACCAAATATGCTTTTGTGGAATTCTAGTACTATTTTAAATGAGGGAGGTGTTGGATGAATGGATGAATGTTATAGTTATCTGAACTATTTACCTGTATTTTGATAGTTCTAATGTAAGAACATTCATTAATACCTTTGTATCTCAAACTAAGTGAGATTTTTTTTCCTTTACAAGCCTAAATTCTTCCTACTTTGTTTATTCTCTTCCATTATATACTTGTTCATTATACACATTGCAGTTATTTTTCGATACTTCTTATAGAAACAGGATTTAAAAATTATATTTCAGGAAATCTGATTGTAAAATAATGAAGTCTTAGGTGACATAGTAAGAATGTGCCTTTGCTAACCCATTAATAAACACCAACAGGTTTTGGGTCCTGCTCCTAGGTGGTGTTCTTTTTTAGACAACTTGACAGAAGAATTAGAAGAGAATCCAGAAAGCACAGTTTATGATGATTACAAATTTGTCACCAAGAAGGACCTTGAAAATTTAGGTAAGATAATTACCATAAAATGTTTATAAAATTTTTTTTTGAGTTTTGAACATTAGAATTTGCTGAGGTGTGTTATCTGATTTTCCAAATCTTCTGTTTCTGCTAAATCAGATATTAAAAATACCATAAATTGCCAGATTTATAATCTCTGTTTAGAGAAAGGTTCAAGTAAATTCAACCTACTGAAGCTTTTTTGTACCTTAAATGAGAAATAATTTCTTTTAGCATACTGTCTATGTATAGAAAAAAAATATCTGTCAAGAAAGCTGTGGTTTTGTTTTTTTTTTTTTTTTTTTACAAATATTACTGAGTATCATAGGGTTTTGAAAATATCTCAGAGACCACAAGTAGATCATTTCTGGCTTTCTTTTAGGTTGGTTTATAAAAGACTGAATCCAAAACTTAGAACCTATAGATCAAATCTTTAAATATAGTAGAAGCTTAATAATAACTTTATGTTTAAAGGTCACAAAGCAAGAAATGTCTTATAAAATAGCAAACACTTATACTCACACAGGCCTTACTGCGTGCCAGGTAGTGTTCTTAGCATTCTGCATATAACACATTTAATCCTCGCAGCCTGTGGAGTGTGTACTATTATGATTCCATTTTATAGATAAGGAAACTGAGATATGGAAAGATAAAGTCACTTGCCAAAAGCTCCAATGGTAGTAAACTTGAGAGTTGGATTTTAAACCTAGAGTTCATGCTGTTCCCCTCAGCCTTCTCAGCCCCTTGGAAGAGCATGTGCATCCCACTTGCCTAGCGCTCATTTGTAGGATAGAATAGGTTTTGCTAATCTTGTTCTACAAGAGTATTTCAAAAAGTTCATGGAAACGTCTGCATTATCTTTTAATTCTGTTTTTCCACGAGCTTTTTGAAGTACCCTTGTATAGTTGGCAAAGGGCTACATAGCAAATTATTGAGAGCGAGAAAACTTAGGGGGTCCTTTCTTCACAAATCTAGGCAACTTAGTAGTCTTTGGAATAAATAGATGTACAAACAGCAGTTGAATATTAAAAGAAAATCTAATCATGTCATAATTAGGTTAATCTAGTGATTTTTAACCTTTATTTTTAAACTGTGTCTCATAGCACAGTTAATCCAGGCAGAATCATTTTCTTCCAGTTACCACCAAAATAGTTATTTAAATTTTAATGTGTTTAAAAAGAAAAGAACTATATTCAACCTTTTACAAAATAACTTATGAATGAATGATTTTTAACCTTTATTTTTAAACTGTGTCTCATAGCACAGTTAATCCAGGCAGAATCATTTTCTTCCAGTTACCACCAAAATAGTTATTTAATGTGTTTAAAAAGAAAAGAACTATATTCAACCTTTTACAAAATAACTTATGAATGAAATAGGATCTTCCTACTGAAGTGCCTTCTTCAATATCACCAGCATAATTTTTATAATACACTTGTATCACATTCACCCACATTCTTAATTGGAAGAGAAAAAAGCCATTGTTATTTTGTGGATTTTTTTTAAAACTACCATGTTTAGTACATTTTGGGTGCTTTATTGGTGAAGAAATCAGTTAAAGTATTTTTATGTATATTATTATCTTTTAATATTAAATGAGCCATTGGTCATCATTTTTCAACAGATTTCCCCATTATATATATATAAACCTTCTAAATAGATTATCTTAAAAGTAGATGTAACTAACTTCCATTGTTTCCTAAGATTATTTTAGGTGGAACATTAGTAATATCGAATATACTTGCAAGTTCTGACTCTCCCCAGGTATGGCAGGTCCTACAGCTTGGTATTTCCCACAGCACATTCTGTGGAATGTCACTTCCGTAAGAAGCACTGGGTAGATAGCATAGTGGCTAATATCACGGGTACTAGCACAGAATGACATGGGTTTACATCCCACCTCTACCACTTAATATCTGTGTGACTTGGCCAACTTACTTAACCATATTAAGTCTTGGTTTCTTCATGTGTAAAATGGGAGTAATAATGGTACCTACCTACAACAGGGTTGCTTGGAGAATGAATCAGATAATGCCTGAAAAGTACTCAGCACAGTGTCTAAAATAGAGTAAATGCATGTTAACTTATTTTAAGAGATTTGTGTAAAAGAAGTTTGGGAAATGCTAGGTTAAGCAAAGTTAAATCAATCTCTTTACTTACAGACTTCCAAGAGCCTTTAATATCATTGTACATTGCCAATCTTCAGGCAGGGGAGGAAAGCATGAAACATTTCCCAGACTTAGCTGACCACAGAATCCTTTTTTCCTCAGAAGATCTCTTGAGACTGGTGTTCTGTGGAGCTAACTATAGGAAATGCTGCTGCTCAAAAATCATTTTGTTTCCTCTATTAATATTTTATTTAAAATCAAAATTATTCATGTGTATTTTATAATTTGGTGATTAATCAGATTGATTATTCTGAGGGAAGATTAGATACATAAAATTAGATTGCTGTTCATTGGTACATTTCGTTAAAGTTCAGCCCTCTCTTTTTTTTTTTTTTTTGATTCCACTGTGAAAATCCAAACCCTAGAGTTTTATTAACCTAACAAACTCTAGGAAAGCATTTTTCTGACCAAGTCTTATAATTACTTTATAAGATTATGCTAAATTTAATTTTGCCTTTTTATGTTGTTCTATAGTATATACTATTTTGTATTACTATGTGGGTTTTGCCTAGTGCCTGATTTTCAGGTCTAGATGGATATATATTTCTAAAATTTGGAAATCAGTATAATGTTTTCCTTAGAAAGACAGTAACCAAAGCTGCCCTTCATGTGGGTGTATTACATGTGGTCTTATTCTGAATATAAATAGTCTCATAACATTTTTCTTTGTAAATATTTGCAGTTAATAAATACTTTCTGTGACATAGGCAGAGCGTCCTTATGTGACAATCAGCACCACTAATTCTAAGTGTAATCTACTGAAAAAATACCTACTGAAGGTATTTTTTAAGGCAGGGTTTCCAAACACTGATTGGCAGTGAGCTTATCATTAGACCACGATGAAGTGTGTGTGTGTGTGTGTGTGTGTGTGTGTGTGTGTGTGTGATGTATGTGTTGCAAACATGTGAATGTGTATGTTTTGTATATGTTGGTATGAATGTGTCAGTGGTTCTTTCTTAGGAAGGCTCTGTCCTTTCTACATTATTGTTGTGACAGTGTCCTTTGCTTTTGTAAATCATGAGATGGTATGTAAACCCCCCCCCACCCTTTTTGGAAAAATAAAAGTTGGCAATTTATTGTTGATCCCCCCAGTATTCTTTTTTAAGTTGAACTGGTTTGTGGAATCCAGAAATTTGGGAACCACTAGTATAAAGAACCATCTTTATGAGTCTATCATAGTTCATAAAGACTTTTTAAAAATCATTTTTATGCTTACTATTACATTTAAAATAAGGTCGATACTGCTGAAGTGGATTAAATTTTCTCTGTAGATATCAAAGAAGATTAGTAATTCTGATCTTTAAATTTTTACTCAGAAGTGAAATCTTATTATAATCAAGTTGTTGTCCAAGAAAAATTGTTAAATTTTAATCAAGATTTCATAAGGACTTGCCCTCTTCTGATTAACTTTTCCCAGGGCTCACACATCTCATTGGATCACCTTTTCTCCGGGCATATATGCATGGATTTTTCATGGATATAAGACTCTATCACAAGGTAAATACAAAACTACAGTGCTTTTAGGTGACTAGTGAGCAATCTGCAGCCATTTCTTCTCCTCTTGGCCATTCATAAAGCATATGATTTGTAAGGGATCTGTCTGTTCTTTGGCATAATAGTCATGGTGTATATGAAATATGATGCTACTAAATACCATTCTTTTATTTTGAATTTTTTTTTTCATTTCGAAAAGGTGAAATTGATGGTAAATCCATTTGCTTATGAAGAATATAGGAAAGATAAAATTCGACAGAAGATAGAAGAAACACGTGCACAGAGAGTGCAATTAAAGGTAAATATTATACTCACCATTGAATTTACCAAAGAGCACTTTGTTTTCATGTTGTATATCGTCCCGAAGAAATCTACCACCCATTTCTTGGCTTTCCATTGTTAATTTACATCTTTTACTGATATTTGTGGTATACTTTGTTTGTCATAAGGGTGGATACTCTGCAGTTTTATCATTATGAACTCATGGTAATGGTATTATTAGAAATAATGCTAGAATGACTGAAATTTTCACCCCCCACTAAGAAAATCTGATGGCGTTTCAAGTGGGTTTTCAAGATTTTGGAGTGTTGGGGCTTTGCTAATCCCCGTTTCCTACTGTCCTTTGGCCGTATCTCAGGCTCTCTGTTTGGATCATGGGAAATGTATGTTATACTATTAGTATAGAGAATTTAATGTAAAGAATTATTACATAATAATAATACATACTAATTACAAGGGCTGGCTGGTTAGCTCACTTGATAGAGCATGGTGCTGATAACACCAAGGTCAAGGGTTCCTATCCCCATACTGTCCAGCTGCCCCCACCACCCCGCAAAAGGAATTATTAACCAGGTATTAGAGAACTAAAAAGGCTAAAACACTAAAGTGTGGATGAGAGAGGCAGTAACTGCAGAAGCAGCTATCACCTCAGGGCTGGGGAACAGAAAGGGGAGAGCCCCATGGAACTGGGGCCCAGACTTCTGAGGAGGGAGGGGTCATAGGCTGGGGCTGGGGTCCTTGAGGTATGATGAGGATGTTCCTGGGAGTGTTGGAAACTACAAGCCGGAATCCACCGTTGCTACTGTAGCCACCTGTTTCTTCTAGGGTGAACTGTTGGTGTGCGGTGTAAACCTAGACAGTAAGCAAACATGAGGAGCAAGTCCTGTCTCCCTTCTCCTGCCTTCTAGTCTCTCTAGTTACCCTCGTTAATTAAGTTTAATCACCAAATGATACAAGTGTTTATAACTGAACATTGGTTAAGATATATGCACACACATACATACACAAACACCCACACTCTTTCAGTCCAAAAGACTAGTGACTTTTCTGAAATCACCTAAATACTTTTTCCTTTTTCCAGACTATTAACAGTTTTTAAGAGCAATGAGTGTATAGATGTTGGCAAGGAGAGACTGATATGGAGTACTGTATTAGCCCGTTTATGTTGCTTATAACAAAATACTTGCAACTGGGTAATTTATAAGGAACAGAGGTTTATTTAAGAGCAATGAGTGTATAGATGTTGGCAAGGAGAGACTGATATGGAGTACTGTATTAGCCCATTTATGTTGCTTATAACAAAATACTTGCAACTGGGTAATTTATAAGGAACAGAGGTTTATTTGGCTTATAATTCTGGGACAGCTGCATCTGGTGTGGGCCTCAGACTGCTTCTACTCATGACAGAAAGTGGCAGGCAACCAGTGGGTACAAACGGATCACATGGCGAGAGGAAGCAAGAGAGAGAAAGGAGGTGCCAGGGTCTTTTCAACAACCAGCTCTAGCAGGAACTAATAGAGCTAGAACTCACTCATTACTCCCCCCACCTAGGCAGAGCATTAATCCACTCATGAGGGATCCACCCCTGTGACTCAAACTGCCACACTGGGGATCAGATTTCCACAAGTTCTGGGAGGACAATACATGCAAACTCCCTCAGGTACTTTTGCCCCACCTCTTTACAGTACTTGTCAAAGTTGTATTTTCTTATTAAACCATGGAACATAAAATACTAAGTGGAAAAAGACAATAGACAGCTTATAACTTTATCCTGAGAGTTGTCAGACTCGTATCTAGAATTCCCTTTAGAAATTTGCTATTCAGGAGCAGGAAATAGTGCAATTAGTATTATTAGTAGCATTTTAGCAGTTCACAGCAACTCCAGCCAGGGGCTACAGTATCAGACCTACTGGCCTCCTGTCTGTCATTTAGGGGTGCTGTACCCTCTGTGGCTGATATAGGCCAAATACAGCTTCTCCCCGTTTGCTTCTCAGTGTGCTGGAAGAGGCATGGGTGAGGGTGAGTCCTCCCACCAACAAGCCGAGGTTGCTATTGTTGTGCCACGTGGCCCACCTGATAACATCACTTGTGTCCACATTCTTTGCTACTCTAGGGATAACGAAATTTTAAAAATAAGAATTAGATATCTCCTATTTGTTAAGCTTTACTCCTTATATAGCTGTCAACCTTTAAAGCTAGAATGTAGTTATCTTAGTACAGCTTTTTTTCCCTCTCATTACTAGAAATTGCCAAAAGTTAACAAAGAGCTGGCGCTTAAATTAATCGAGGAGGAGGAGGAGAAGCAAAAATCTACATGGAGAAAGAAAGTTAAGGTAAGATTTTATAAGGCAGAGAAAATATTGATAAATTGTTTCTATATTTTCTTGACAGTATTAACTTGTATCTTTTTTATTGTTTCTTTTTACTTTAAAAATATGTGGGGGTTTTTTCCCCCCACCTTATGAGATAGTATATGTTCAATATGGGAAGTTTGAAAATAGGAAAGAATATAAAGAATGCCAGCCCTATAATTTTTCTACCCAGACAAAGACATCGTTAATATTTTAGTGAATTTTCTTCCTGTCTTATTTGTCTTAAAATTATAAACTATAATGGCAGGATAGTCTCGTATATGTAAAATATCCTGATTTTATAAAATAACACTGTTGGTTTACCATTTTGTTAAAATCTTTTTGTAAATATTTATAATGGCTGCATATTCAATCTTATGGATATATTATAATTTACTTGGTCCTTTTATTGTTAAATGTTTAGGTTATTTATACTAATTTATTTGTGCTGATTAGATTTATCACTCCAGAAGTAGCTGATTTTTATTTAGACTTGGTATTATTGGGATTGCGCAGTCTGACATGTAACTGCTACCTGTCTTCCTTTCCTAATGTGAAAATAGATGAAGATTAGTCATAAAATAGATAAGGGTCAGCGCTTTGTTTGGCTAATATTGTCCAGAAATAAGGCAATGTTTATAATTTTTCCAGTTACATGCAGACTTCCTGGGTCCTCCCCAATCATGTTTCCTCATCTCATCAGGCAGGCCAGGCTTGGTTATGTACTAGAATGTGTTGTAAAAGTCTGGTCTCCCCACTGCGAGAGCCTGCAGGACTAACTCTCTGAATAAAGGGCTTAACCTTGGAACTTTGGGCCAGCTTTGTGGAGCTCTCAGGAGGTTTTTGTTTGTTGCTATTCTTTCTTTCTCTGGTTTTCAGTCACAGAAGTGAACATGAGCTAAGTGAGCTCTGTGTGTGCCTGTCTGTCTTTCTCTTCATCAGGGCCCAAGGACTTCAGTTACAAGGTCTTGTTTCTGTCTCTCCTGCTCACTGCTTGTGTAACCTTTGCTGATTCCCTCAGGTTCACCAGAGCACAGGTTTTTCATCTATAACATGCAAGAACCAGATATGGGCATTCTTACTGCTGTGATTTCTAAGTGGATTCAAACTCACTACTTCCTCTTGCTTTCCTTAGTCTCTCCCTGTATCTCCTTATTCTCATCTATTACTTACATTCTTTGAATATATTATCTAAATCTCAATTTTTGGAACTCTTCCTTAAGTAAATAGCTAGATGGCTTTTATGTTTCCATTTTCATTACATGAATAATACACCAATGTTGAAACAATTCCTTAAACTTATTAATATTTAAATTTATATCTATGCCCTATGGCTATGCACCTTCCTGATATATACAAGTATATAAACGTCATGTATAGCTTAAAGTGTTTGAAATCCATATGCTTCCTGCAACGTTGGCTTTCTCCTCAGTGTAGTCACGTTGATTTTCTTGTTAGCTGAGCCTAAGATTGATTAGGGAAGCAGTTTTTCAACTTCATAATGTAATTTCACAAGCTAAATGGAAGTGATCTTTGGATTTATGCACCCTAAAACTTCAGTAGAAAGAGAGTGGAGCTAATTTAAGCTGCAGATTTCCTATGTGTGTTTTATGCTTATGAGTGAGTCCTTATCACTCGATTTAATGTTATAGAGGGTAGGACACTTACATTAAAATTTATTTTTGCTGGCCGGCCTGTGGCTCACTCGGTAGAGTGCGGTGCTGATAACACCAAGGCCGCAGGTTCGGATCCCATATAGGGATGGCCGGTTTGCTCACCGGCTGAGCATGGTGCTGACAACACCAAGCCAAGGATTGAGATCCCCTTACCGGTCATCTTTAGAAAAAAAAAAATTTTTATTTTTGCTACTTTGTGTGGCATGGCTTACTGAAACCTTTTTATAAGGCCCTATGATTGTAAAGATGAAGGAGAAGCCCCTTCCCATGCCCCCATCCCCCCTTTTCTTTGGTAGACTTTTTCTGAGGTTGGGGGAAGCCAAGCTTGTCAAGAGTACTGTGAACAGTTGCCTTCTCATCCTAGACTTACTCTGTGGAACCGTCATTTTTCTTCACATCAGTAAATTGTCATTCTCCTTAAGTTAGGATGAGTTGCCAACGTTTTATCCTTTGCCCTTTCAGTAGCAGGAGATGACTGTGAGTTCTTTAATATGAAGTTTTTTGCTAGTGTCACTTCCACTGGGACATATTCATTCATTTTGTCACAGCTGCTTTCCTCGTTTATTCCAAGATGCTCACCTTCACTGTGGTCCTTTGTGGCTGTGGAGTCCCAGCCAGCAGCAGTGCATTCCCATGGTCAGCTTTCTTTTCCTGTAACTTCATTTAAATCTGATTCATATTTTCTTTGCTTCACTTTCATCTTTTGTTGGCCAGTTCTCTCCTTTAATTATCCATTTTTGTAAAATGTTACATGGGTTTAACTTTGGGATCCAAGGAGACAGCACAGCAACTACATGCTTCCTGTCTGTGTGAACTGAATACAGTGACCAGTCACTGACAGGCTTTGAAAGAGGTGGCGTGACTGGCCACTGATCATGCTACACACCTATTATTTTGTGGGGATTTGTGAACTGAAGAGCTAGCAGCGAGTTTGCACTTTATGTAAATACTCACAGTTGATGTAGGAGGTAACTGAAATTTGAGCCTGCTGTTGGGGGACCTGGTATTACTTAACCACACCATGGAAGCTCATTCCTTTCGGCATGGTGCAAATGGAGGACTTGCCTGTGCGTTTCCTGCAGTCAAATCTGTTCTGTTGGCCTTCAGTTCTGCTGCTGCGTATTCTCTAATTAATAATCTACATGGTATTTATTTATTTTAGAACCTATTTGTGGGTTACCCTGAGAAAAATTATCAGGCTGTGTCCTGTTTCTACTGCAAGTGCCGGGGGGAAGAACCTGGAAATTCTGATCTTCCTCCATCAGACAGCGGTTTCTCTCCCCTGTTGTAGCTAGAAGTGCTGTCTCTGTAACAATGTTACCTGCTGACAAAATTCTGCTAGAAGGTAGTATTTATAAAATGTGCCCCTAACTTGATTTTGGTGACTTGCTGACCCAAATTAGGCCCTATTATCAGAGCTCGGTTTCATTCCAGAAATATTTACATATGGTTTTTAGTATAAAATCTGAAACTGTTCTTAGAAAAAGTTTTTATAATTTGTTGTTTAACATATGTTATGTAACATGAAGACCTTAAAAGTTATTCATGAATTAAGGAAAGAATCTTTCATTATAATTGTAAAGAATGCTTGAAAGATTCAGATCCCCATACCAGCCAGTCTCCAAAAAAAAAAAAAAAGGAATTCTTGAAAGAATTGTTAAATCCATCAGCAGGTCGTTAGTCTTGTCTTTGAACTCAACTCTTCAAACTTTAGGAATTTAATAGCTCTGATATCTCCTGGTTTAAAAGTCAGTATTTTGCAGTTATGTTCTGCTTTGGCTGCAACTGAAATTTAATGGAAGGAGACACTGAAATTTGTTCCCAAATACTACAACCACTGATAACATAATAAAAGTCTAATACGATGTCTACCTTATAGTTGATGTTGAACCTACAGTGGGAAGTGACCTACCACATAATGTCAATAAGCATTACCTGGACATTATCTAATCTTAGAAATTTGGTGGTATTAGTTCTAATTAAGAATTAATTCCTTTATTCTTTCAACAAATACATATTGAGCTCCCAGTATACACAAGCAGCTTTGAGAGGCACTGGCGTCTGTGGTCCATTTGATTTGTAAGAGTCTGAGTTTTGATTAGAGCCATTTTTCCTACATTTTTCTGCACGTTTGCCTTTTCTGCCAATTTTTCACTGTTGCCTTAAATTTTTGTATGAATCGTCTATTCTTGGATTCTTCTTCACCTCAGTCAGGGCTGTGTCTGTGATATCTCTAGGCCAGGTGTATTCTGTGGCTGGGAAACCATGGAAGAGATGCTTTAGCCTCAGGAATTATTAAATACTGTTAAGAGCTTATAGCAAAGTATTAATTGATCTCTTTAGGGAAAAGATACAATTATGTACAGACACTCTGGGTTGGATTGTATCAGTTTTAACATTTGAAATATTCTTTCTTTTTAAAGCTTTTTTAGCACCAATTAAAATTTGGGGGTTTTTAAAATCAGTCACATACATAATTTTTTTTTTTTTTTTTTTTTTTTTTTTTTTTTTTTTTTTTCT